AGAAATAACAGTGTTTATTCAATTATTTTGATTCTTTTTTAAATATGACTACCCAAATATTGCCAAACGGTAATAATTTTTCAACTCCTTCTCATCGACAGGTCAATTTAATATTACATTTTAAAATAGAATAAAAAATTAAAACATCAATTTTATTACCTTTTTGAAATGTCACTAATATTTTTTGAGTACTAATTTTTTATTGGAAATTTATTCATTTATAACTCAAAATTCTATCAATAAAAAAGTCATAACGTTAAAAGAAAAATCATTTATTTTATTTACAATCGGTATAAACGTGTTTATTTGATTAAGTAAAAAAAAAAATTGTTGTGGCCTGGGTTCGAACCAGGATTTTCTGATTATCAATGTAGCGTGGTTGAATAGTCCCATTCCTTCTGATCAACTTCCTTTGGGGATATCAACTGTCGATGGTTACATTTTCTCCTCTAGACTAGACAGATTTTATATTTTTCCTCAAAGTAACTGTCAGAAGATCAATGAAGTTATTTAGGTACGATTTTTTCGTATTTTAACATGGAACCTTTACCATTTATGTCACCACAACAATTTATATTTGATTAAATACATAAAATAATTTAGCTCTTAAATAGCTAGATTGATTTATGGACCAAGTGTATTGGAGAACAAATCAACAAATATTGATTCTTATTCTCAAGTGTTTTTAATTGAAAATATTTCATGATTGATGATATAAAATTTTTCAATATAAACACATGATTATGTTTAAAGATTTTATGCATTTTATACACTGTGTAAATTAGTCAGATCTTTTATTGTACACAAATTCAACATCCAGATCACGCTGTAATTTCAATTCCAAACAAATTCTCCATCTCCATGTTATGATAGCAAACCGTTCAAAATTATTACATCAAATGAAGTAAATATCGAGATTACTGTAAGTAAATCAAATGCACCTATCCAACTCTAGTACATGTAGAAGTTTTATATCAAATATAATTTGTATATTATATTGTAATAAGTGGTAGGATGATGATCAATTCTTTTTCAAAACCACAAAGAAGCTTTAAATTTTTTCAGTTCAGCTTTGATGCTTAACAAATATTCGACCAAAAAAAAATTGGATTGTCGAATTAAATCTACATTTGTTCAAGGGTTTTATTTGAATGAATATCCACCACACAAAACTCAACGACAAGATACTTACTTGAATGAAATAATAGAGAAGTAAAAGATAACTGCCATAAGAGAGAAAAAATTATCAACATCTGGATGGGTTTTATCCACACACTCATGTTGATCCCCCTTGAGGAAATTTGATCAGACCACACGTTACTTTCCCGTTCACTTCATCGACTGCAACTACTTTGGCAACTGAGAAAAAAATGGTAAGAGGATAATTTGAGGTTTTTCCCGCAGCCATTTGGTGAATGAGGTTGAAATCGAGCGCCCGCATGAGACGATAACGTTATCAAGTACCCGTAGGATCGGATGGTAGAGGTCCGGAGGTGGAAATGACGGGTTTCACCCCGTTGGATATTTACGAACAAGATAAGCTTTCGGAGTATGCGATGGTGGTGGTGGTGGTGGTGTAAAATTACGTTGAATTTTGAAATAATGCGAAATTGTTAGAAGGGTAGGAGAAGATACTTAACTCACCCTCAGCTGTAATATGCAATGTAACAAAAATGTGTGTTTGGTAATCGAGGCTTTCCACGGATTCCACGGTGAATAACGAGGCCAATAACGGACCGCAACAGCGCCCGTGAGATTATCGAAATTGGAAAGATGCCAGGGGGCGGACGACAGGAGAAATGAGACCCGATGGAATCGTTTCAGTTTGCAAACTCGCACCACACATCGAATCAAAAGCATATATATTCAGCGATCCAATTTTCGCAACGGGATAGAGTAAAAAGGATCATAAGAGAGACACGCATATGATGATGGTCTGAGATGCATTCTTAATGTATAATAAATGCATCGATGCGCGCAGGTGGCAAGTATCCGCTGGCCATATTTCCACCTCTTTGGAGCTACACATGTATACATGGACACAAGCACACACCTTGCTATTTCTTGTTCAACGATACGTCGTCTACATTTGTGCGATATTGCACGATATCTAATTGATGTTTATTCAAGTGGTAACATTGCTAGAGGTCTACCGAATGTCGCCTATTAGTCTATACTATTGTGCATTACATACTGCATCTAACTCTGTCTCCGTCACCTCCTCCAGCTCTCATCTCTCATGTTGTCCATTTAATATACACCCTCAAGCGACGTACGTTTGGCTCATTGCTGCTTCCACCCTCTCGCCCGTGAAGTGAGAGACAACGGGGTCAATGACAGGGTAATGGAAACGCCAATAATCCTAGGATATATATCGCTCACTCTACTAGGAATATCATTTGGTCTTGAGATAAAAAAAAACACGACACATATTGTGGTGGTCTTATCTACAACCATTTCCACGTATACTCCAAAGGATAGGGACTATATTAAGGCAACCCACCAGCTTGACGTCGTGTGCTAAATTCTTTTTAAATAATTGCATAATTTTCTATTGGAAGAAAAATATTTCATTGTGTTCTGTAAATAAATTATTGAAATATTAATAAATATTTCGTTTTTTTTTTCTCATGAAAAATGTGACTTTGAAATTATTTGGAAAATTTCAATAAAATAATCAGAATTTATAATTATTTTCAATAAAACATATCAGAATTTTTGTTTTTGTAATGAATAATAAAATAAAATCATCATAAAATAATATCTCTTAAAAATATAATAAAGCTGTCAATAAATAAATATAATCATGGTAATAACTGATAATTATAATAAAATTTTTTATGAATAAAAAATATAAAACACTTAGTAAATATCTAATGTCTCTTGGTGGCTCGTCGTGCTCGAGTTTCTTGAATAATGAATGTGTGGAGCAGCAGCAGTAGCAGCTTGCATGGTGGGATGACTGGCGAAGAAAACGAGCTCAGACATTGAGGAACGCAGAGAGCTATGCAGATATTCTCCAAGAATGCGAACGCGTTCTCTCAACTAACGAGTCGATAATTGCAGGGAGAAAAGGAGGACTACGGAGGGGATGATGTAGCCTGAAATTACCAAGAGACTGGCGACACGCAAAGACTTGGAATCGCACGCCATACTCGATTCGATTAGAAACTCTCTCGCGTTGTCTTTGTTTAAATACTTGATGGTTCATGTTTGTTACATGTTACATGGGCATGATAGTGGACGATTCGACTGAATTTTACAAGCATACTCTCTAGCACACTATTGTTCTTTTGAAATAAATGCTCGGGAAATCGATTACCAGCGAAAAGTCATCATCCCTTGGATGAAATTAACGATAACACATCTATCTTTGTGTGAATCTTCTGTGTGTATACGTTATTTTATTGTCCGCGAATGTATAGAACTTACGTGCATCGCCGTAATGAGACTAGTCGTGTGACGTTCCTAAAACTTTTATGGCTGACGACAGCAGGTGCTTCGTGTTGGACTTGTTGTTTTGCCCTTCACTTGTCCATTCGCGTAGTAATAATCTCCATGAAACTATCTCTCCCGTTGATTAATACGAAAAAAAAGGTAAATATATATTCTTTTTTCATATTACTTTTGATGTATCAAAACTTTTTTGGCGAGCATTTAATATTTTGTAATATTAGAGAGACATGTAACGAGGTTAGTTAAGTTTCAAGCCAGTTAAACTGAAGGACGTGGAGTAAGCGAGGGTGAGAAGGATGATACTGAACGATAATATCCGTCGAGTCCTTCGACTTTATCTAGTATATATGTGAGAAAGGAGTATATATTCGGTGTACATAACTCATATCGACGCATTGCTCGACCTCTATTTTCGGTGAGGCCACGAATCATGTTTGCAATTGGTTTTTTCCGTGCTTCTTCATGAAAAATGTATTTTTGCCAAATTTTTTCTTAAAAGCTTAAAGCTTTTTTTGATTTACTACGGCATTTTGGTGAAATATTCACAATATTAAAATGTAAAAAGAGGAGAAATGAATGAATAAAAATAATTTGATAATATAAAAACATATATATTTATAAAAAAAAAATATATCTTTACTCCGATATGTATATATGTATTGATTCCTCAACCCTCTCTCTCTCAACTGCTAAGCAAAAGAAATATGTGCGGAGTATAAAAATATACCAAACCCTACTATATGTTTTTTTTCAAATATGGTACGCTCGTAATTCAGTTAGGTATGAAAATTTTATGATTCTCAAGAATGGAAATATAAAATAAAAAGAATAATATTTTTATTGATGAAACTCTACAAAATCGATATATTTTTGGAAGTTGTATAAGTATAAATAATATCGAATAGGTTGTTTGATAATATTGTGGCGGTAAATTCAAATTAATTCATGCTTACACTGTAATAATAATAATAATGATTATTATTATTAATTCAAGACTGAAATAGGTTATGCAAATGAAACAGGAAAATGCTTTTACTAATCAAACAAGCTTCTAGGATTTACGTAAATTAAATTCAAGTATTATTTGTTTCTTTCGCATGAAGATAATTATGAATTTATTTATTACACAAATTATTCTTATTTTAAAGATTATGAATAAATAAAATATTTTCATTCTTTTATCCATTATTTACTGATGATGAGTTTGAGTACAGAATAATTTTATAACATTTTACTTTCAAAAAATATGCTAATTATATTTCTTTTATATTTATTTTTATTATTGATCAAATTTTATTATAATAAATTGAAAGGTATTAGATAATAATCAAATTTAAAAATAAGATAATTATAATCAATAAGATATTAATAATAAAAAAAAAAGAATTAATTGTTGTGGAGTTTAGTAGAGATTTATATGAAAATAAGGCCAAAAAATTAATTGAAAACATTAGTTATTTTTAGCTTATTGGATAAAAAGTTTCCCAGCTTATGTCATCGTAATATGTAAAAGATAAATATGTGCATTTATAATGACAACTCACCTCGACTAGGGTAATGAGGATAATAAAAAGCGGAGGTGGACAACATGTATAGCGATCAGCGTAATATTTTCTATCTCTTTCTTCGGTGAGAAATTCATCACCGATCATGCGCACCATCCTGTAAATAAAACCAAAATTAATTAACTGATATATCATCGTTCAATTTAATATTAAAACATGTAGATATTTAAATTTGAATAGGAAATTTGTCATTGTCAGTAACACCAGTATACTAAAATCGCAGAATCATGAGTAAATCCTCGTTTTGTTTGAAATTACAAGCATTATCCGGTATAGTTCGATCTGCTCAATTAATTTATCCTGTCGTTCGTTAATAATACGGATTTAACAAATTGTTCTTCAATGCGTATTCAATTACATCATTCAGAGATTTAATTCATATCATATATATTTGTAAGTATAAAGTTGAAATGAAATTTTTCATTATCATTGTGTTGTTGTTTTTTTTTTTTTTTATTCTCTATTGTAATCTTGTTACTAGAGTCTGAACTAACATGAAATAAATTACAAGGATTTTTATTATTATCTAAAACACAAAACCGAGGATAAATAAAGTAAACGTATATACCTTCAACTACAATACAATGTGGATTCATTAAAAAATTTTCCCTTTTTCATTAAATATGTATACACTTTCGAGAAAATTAATTAACGTAAACTTTATAAAAGTAGCTTGAAAAATAATGTCAAATATCATTTTTGAAACTTTTTTCTTTTATAGTTAGCAGCTAAATTAGAATGTTTTACCTACATGTAATTGAATTTTCTATAATTATATTTTAGATTGCTCATACACAAGTACCATCAAGAGCTTTTTACCCCCCTTTTTTCCTTTGTATCTTTGTTACTCTATTTTATATATCTGCTTTCTATGAAATCAATGAAGGGAAAAAAAAAGAAAATAACATGACTGCAGTGGAAACAATAGTGTTTGCCTGTCAGCACTACGTTAGTCGAGAGCTCCTATAAGCGCGAAAAAGAGATAATAATTCCATTGTCTCGAAGAGTTCCATTGCAGAATTTTTCTTTTCCTCGAGATACAGTTGAGTATACCAAAGGCAGAAGAGGGAAATATAAAGCTGCGATTGTGCGTTTATATTCTTCACTACTCTATTTCAATTTATATTACTCCAATCTCGTGGCTGGTGTATAGAACCCGGAAAGTCGTTCACCATCACTACCTAATCTTCCTCGTGGCTAAATCAACAATATAATTCTTACGTAAGGTGACCCGGGGCACGATGGGACATTCAAGATAATAAAATATTTACCAACTATTTTTATGTTACGAATTTTTGAATTAAAAGTAATGAAATTCTTTTTGTTATTTCATTTTATTTGGTAGCAACACGTTATGAAGTTTCTTATCAACCCTCGACAGTGTTTTTATAATACTTGAATATTGATTCGAAGGTTGAAAAGTAAAGGGTTTACACGACTCCTTGTCATACAGAGAAGGATTGAGTCTCCTATCCTGGATTACTGCCACATTATCTTCCTTTTTTCTTTTATATGTAATCATTGACCGCGTAAAAAAAACCCTCGGTAGATCCCAATGTAAGATGGTTGGACACGCGAATGTGCTCTGCACGAATAGTATTTTAACGGAGGAAGTGGAATTTTTATATTAATTTTAATTGACCTCATTGCATTTTTATTATCTTAAGCCTAATTGAATTCTTATATTATGATGCACACTGTACGTTTGAGAAGAAGTCATGTCATATGAATATATTTATAGATATTTTACTCTAGAGTCAAATATTATATTCAAGTCAAATTAAGGAACTAAAAAGTTTTCTCAAGGATGATATTTATGTTACGGCTGTGACATTTTTTATAAATTATCTGACTACAAGTCCTGTGAAAAAAAAACCTCCTCAACTCTTTCTCATATTTTATACATTCAGAAAATATAAGTTTAATTATTGCAACTTTGATATGAGTATTTATTAATCGTTGATACTTTTGAAATTCACACTGAGAGATGGATTTTATTACAGAGTTTGCGGAGACATGCAAGTAAATATAATATTTTTATAAATATTAGATGATTTAAAATAAATTGCTATTTTTTGTAACAAAAATGTTTACACAATATTTTTCTATTTATAAAAAGAATTTTTTTTTTTTTAATAATAATTCAATGAAAAATGTATTACTGCTAGCAATGAATACTCAGCTTTTTAATAAAGCTAATTGCAAACAAAATTCAACTGATATTTTTTGTGATAAAAAATTATTTGATTTGGAAAGAAAAAAAAAAAAATTCATTCATCATATAATATAATTCATAGCTGTATAGTTAAAAAAGTTTAACAATTAATCAATTCCTTCAACAAAGTTTCAAGAAATTTCTGTACAATGTCTATCATAATTATAAAAAAAAGAAATAAATATCCGAGAAATTAATTATTTAAATATCAAATTATTTCACGGTATTTTATTTTTAAAAATAAACACCAGGCATATATCGACTATTTCTTGGAACAAAACAATATGCATAAATAAACAATGTATTTCTGAAAGATGATTTGCTACCAAGAACGCACATTTCTCTGTAAAATAATCGAGTCGATAGTATCAAATCGATGAGGACACAATTAGTGTGTAGATTACCGAGGTATAGAACCCCCAGACCAATGGTTTCATAGAACGCACATAGAAATGCAGTACGACAATACTATAAGCCTTGGTCTATGCGGTTGACCATACGATCGTTCATCATCGCCAAGAGTAGCAGCAGTGGCCGTTATCCGGACGATCAAACGACCGCGCGGTCCGGATTCCTCTGACTTTTATATAATCCGTATTCTCTACCTTTATCTTTCAGTGACGGCTGCGAATTGACTGTAAGCGCCGGCGCTACATTCCGTGCTGGTCGTGAATAGTTTGGAAGGTAAAAAGTACGCAGCGAGTCGACGTTTGTTATAGTTGGATTGAGGTGAGAAGAATGAGAATAAAATAAAAATGAAAATTATATTGAGGCGCCAGCTTGACGGTCGAAGGAGAATTCAATCTCTCTGCAGTCTTCTTCCTACTCTCAGTTTGAACCTACTACCCAACCCCTGTAGCTCGTTAGTACCGGTAATTGTCACTTGTTAGGTGCCAACTTGTCATCCGACTTGGTTGCTCCTCACTCTCTCTCTCTTCTTTCTCTTACTGTTTCTCTAATACCAAGTGGAAGAGAGTCATGACGACGGACACGAGTCAGCTGAGAGGACAACGAATACCACTCACGGATAGAGAGACTAGACTCACAACAGGGAAAATCCGTCGGAAATTGTCCAATCGATTTTATATTCCCTCTGCCTTTGTGGTTTGTTACTCGGAATACTAACGACAAATGCTCACAGTAGTGTATCCAGCTCTATCAATTTTCGCTGTAAGAGCTGGACCATGAATAATAGAACCTGTGTAATTACTCAAATTATATTGAAACACTCGGGATTTTCATAAAGCCGACGTAGATGTATCGTTTATTACATTTGTCGACTATCAGATTCGTTAAAAGCTGCATATATGATGTATCATGATTGGAAGGTTCTTCATATATGCAACGTCTATTTGATCAATCGAGCAAACATCCAAAAATGTTTTAATTGATTAGTGAGCATGCTATGATAGAAAGGAATGTTTGCCGAAATTTCATACAACCTTCATTTGCTAAGGATTCAATCATTTAACCAACATTTTCAGAAACTATTTCTCGTATATCGATAGACCTTTGGATCTGAATTAATGATGTATTACCGATTGAAGTTAATCAAAGTTTAATGAATTTATTTTTCGAATGTGATAAAAAAATTTATAAATAATGAAATTTGTTAAGTGAAATAGAAAAAAAAATGACAAAATGTAGGATTACTTGTTATATAATTAGTGAGAAAATTTGCATTGTGAACGGATGGAAACTTTAAGGATAATTTAAATAAATTTTTACCAATGTTAGAAAGAAAGAAAAAATATGGAAATTGAGTGTCGCGATGAGTTACGAAGAAGAAGTAGCTTTTACTTTTTATCCTTTTTTTTTTCTTATTCGCCAATGCAATCTCTCGATTCTCGATAAAGGAGAGAAATGAAGAAATAAGATGCAACGAAACTTTTTCTTGTGACTTGGTGTTTATATTTTTGATGTATATATATAGATATTTTTTTTTATCAATTTTAACGAGATCTACTCTTTTTCAACAGTTTGACAGAAGAACATTTGGAAAATTGTGGCTTACAATATTGGATGCAAAAAATAAATTGAATACATGTATCAAAATGTATCGATGAATTTCACGTGTCACTTTTTTTTTTCTTTATTTCCTTTTCACTTCACCAAACTTTCGTCTGTTATTTCTAGCTAAACTATTCTGACAATGCCAATAAACTTAAACAGTAGACGATCGCACAGAGGAAAAAAACACTCGATGAAATCCACACAATAGAGTAGAGTAGAGGATAAGAAACATATCAATGGACTAAAGGCAAACTGGATGCTAAAGTAAATATACAACATAAAATAAATTTCGAGGACTTTTATATATATATTATGTTATGACGATTGGATGAAATAAACCGACATATAAGAATTGATGACGCATCACTCGTTGCTATTTTACATTTTAATTCACAAGAGACACTTTGGTTACTCTCACACAACATCCTCCTAACGTAGTGTGTTGGTGTTTCGCAGTATTCTGAAAATAGAGGAGACGCGCAAAAGTTGGTGTCGAACTCAACACGAAACAACAGCACGTGCTTTCAACTTTTTGAATTGAAAGCCTCTTTCCACTTTACAATACTAAACATACTAGTGTATGTGTGTGTGTACCAGTGCTAACTAACTAACAGAAACCTCAATATTAATTCAACCTCAATAAAAACCCAAACTGTTTAAATGTCAATAAAATAAATATTTACATGATAGAGGTGTGTTGGGGCCTCGAGTCAACGCCATTGCCAGGTGCCATCATTGTTATTGCGGTTGTTGGTGATGTTAAAGGGACCGACGTTGTCGAAATAGTTCTCGTAACAGTCCCACGCGATGTATCCTTGAGTATCTTAGTGGCGCTTAGTGGCGTTGTCACACACATTGTTCTTGTAAGGAACACTCAAATTTCACTTAACACTATAAACATTGATACAACACACACGTGTAACGACACACACGTGCACTTTTATTTGATTAATTATAACTCGATTAATGGGACAATAACTACGGGACATTCGTACGTTCCATTGGATCAATAGTGAATTTATTTGACAGGCAAAGAGCAGACACGAGTGTGCCAAGCTCTTTACCTTGATATGCTAGGCCCGCGCGCACGTCTTGTACGTCCTTTCTTACTCGGCGCCACGGGCTTACTGAATGACTGAGTGTGCTGACCGACTGACTTGGCGCGAGAGGCCACAAGTCTTGGCGGGCGTGGGTGTACACGCGCTCGATCATGGTGGGGTTTGCAGTTAACATCGTCATTGGATCAACTCGGGGATGAAAACATATGGGGGGTAAACGACAACCAATCCTAACAGCTCTACATTCTTACCGCTTTTGCCAAGACATCAAAAGCTAACTCGCATTCGGCTACGAGCCGTCGAGATGTGTATTACATATTTTACTGCCTTTTAACTCTTTGTTGTCAATTACACTCCATTATTGTATCACTCTTTTATTATCGACTTCTTTTTAGTTCGAAACATTGCAGTGCCATAGTTTGTTTCTATTTTTCTTTTAGTGATGAGTTTTAATCTTTGTGTTTTTTTCATTTACCTGGAATTAATCTATTGTTTATTTTCACACGATTTGGAGTTGGATCATTTTTTTTTCTTATCACTTATGATATTGTTATAAATATTTAACTGTCTTTTTGGAGTAAACAAATATTATGTTGATTTCAAAATAATCATTGCTTTAGATTTGTTTTAAATTTATGTAAAAGATTATTTTATTTATAGAAAATACTCAGATGTGTAAAAAATGAATTTAATGTATTATTTGGATTTATTGGAACTTAATAAAAGCAATTCTATCAAAAAAGATTAGTCACAATTGGAATTCATTTTACAGATTAAAATGTTGTAAGATTTTTGTGATTTTTTAACTGAAAAGATAATATATTGACACAATGAAAAATTGCATCAAGTGACATATTATACTGTGTTTATTTTAATAATCAGTTTGGAATTTAAAGACTATTTAAAATGTCCTTGCGGGTTTAGGTAGATTCGTATCTTCTAAGTCTTTTAAATACGGTATTCTTATCGGTGAAGATAAATTTGACACTAATTGATTAAGATGATGCTTTAATAGACTTCTCTGGTACATTTTTACTAAACTACGGTATTCCACTTTTCACTATCCTTCGAATCTTCAAATATAATCTTATTTTCAAAGCAACCAGGAGGCTTTTGGGATACCCACATATCCCAATCTTGAGTATTTTCAATTGAGATCTTTGAAGCATCGTCGATTTCTGATTTTTCAGCAAGTTCTCACGCAGTAGTAGTGTGGGAAAATGCAGTACCTTTAGATTGAAAATAAATTTTGTTTTTAAAAAAAAAAGGAAAAGGATTTTCCCAAGTCTTAGAAATGTTGTAAATTGTTGTGAAATTGACTTCAACCTGTCAATTTTCAATGAAAAAACCTTGGTAGTTAAAAAATTTTGGGTATTTACGTGTCAACTGCACTTGAAGGCATTTAAGAAACAATAATCAAACCATTACTTTGAATATAAATGAGACAACTCCTACTTTCTTTTGACTACTGACCACCGAAACGTCCCTGATGATCATTTAAAGTTCTTCAGTGCCTCTATTACGGAGTCTAACGCAGCAGGAAGTGTCCAGGTGGTAAACTTTTACCAGTCAAATTTGGCCCACGTCCTTTATTGCGATCTAGTGTAGACTCCCTCCGAGGTGTTCTGTTACGGTTCTTTCAAGCTTACATTAACTTTGAACAACTTGGGTAACGGGTCTAGGGGCGGCATAACATGTTGGTGCCTGTCTGTGTTCCAATAAAATACTCTACACTATTCGATGAGACGGTGGAGGAAATTGTGCGTGAAGTCAGGCGTCACAATTGAAGTGATCCCATATAATTGACCCGCGGAAAATTGACCATAAATTTGAGCAAACAAGACTATAATACCTTTTCCTCACAATAATGCCTTTTTTTACCTTTCTCAATTTACTTTATTGATTTTTTAGTGTTGCTATTACTTTTTCATCTATCCTCCGGATATATGTTCTCTCATACTTAGACATCGAAAAACATTAATAGGAGGAAAAAAGGCTGCTCCAAATTGTCTAATATGCGGACGTGAGTCCAAGGACACCAGTGAAAGTATCATTAGGGGGAGGTAAGTTTCATACGTGACTCGTCGAATAATGTGTCGTCCAATGTAGAGTGTATATATGTATAAAAGGTATATGTATAAAGCTGAAAGACATGTTATATATTTTCTGTACTTTAGACTTCCCAATTTGCCTCCAAAGTAATAGTAAAGATCTTTCCTTTATATTTATTTTTTTCTCTTTTTCATCTTCCACCGACCTTTGATGTGTTTCGTCTTTGTAGCTGCTGAGACACAGCAATATATAGGAGGCAGAGCTTGTTATACAATAGAAACACGAACAATATGAACGGTAGAAATTCATTGACAAAGTTTTGCCGGTTTACCGTCAACTTTTTTAGTCCATTACGACTTGGGAAATTTACGTTCTCCAACATATCACGTGTGTTTAGCATGAAAAGCTGACTTATTATTGTTTGGAATGTGACCACGAGTACGACGTGTGCGATGTGACCACCCGTATTAAATTGTATATATAAAATACATTTTCGATCGATTTTTCAAATATTTTAAGATACTTTAGAACCTTTTTAACGACTTTATTTATGCTCATCTCTTTTAATCCCGATATATTAAAATATCCCCATTTCTTTTTGAGGAAAAAAATAACCGAAGGACTTTGAGATGTTTCTTTAATGAGAAACAAGAAGCAGAAAAAAAGAACAGGCGTTGACGCGGGCCTATAAGCTCATAAAACTCACTGCCACTTGGGGAACAAAAAATTATGTGAGGTATACGTGAATGAAATAGGTGTAAAATCGTTGTGATAATATTTATAGTAACCCACGTAGAAAATCATTCCAAAGAAACTTGAAAATTATTCTTTCATCGAAATAGTCTCATTTAAATAGTTTTAGTGTGTCAAAGTATTTGAATAAATAAAATAACTCATTTTATTGATAAAGATATAGTTTAGTGATAAGTAAAGAAAAGTATAAAAATAAAATCTGGAGAAAGTTTGAAACTTGAACATTCTTTGAGAAATTTTTTTGATTCACTTTGACAGTTTCGTGTATAGCCACTGTTTCAAATTGACTCATTATAATAATTTCACATAAATAATCTCATAAATATGCATTGAATTATTTTGTTAACTGAAACTTAAGGAATACTAAATACTGTTACATTTAAATCTAAAACATTATTTTGAGGAAGTTTGTCATAAAATTCCATAAAATCTTTTTATAAATAAAATATTGTACTAAAAATACACTTGAAAAGTTTCAATAAGCTTGAATAAAAGCTCCAATTCTACTTCAAGTAAAGTGCAATTTTTAAAAAGTGTTTGAGATAAAAAAAAACTGCTCTTTAATCTAAAAAAATAAAAAGCTATTTAATGAGCTCAGAAAGTAGCAATTAATTTTACACGTTTTATTGTTACATTTAATTTGTTTTCTCTTCAAAAGACAATTTTGTTTTCTTGGCATGTACATGGGAAAAGTGCACAACCATGTTGCATCTCGCAAAAGAAAGAAAAGTCTATCATTTTTTTTTTCTGTTTATTTTTCTTGTACTCTGTACATTGGTGTTCACTCCGCATGCTATTCGCGTGGTTAGTAGAAAGACGACGGTTTCCTCAAGTTACTTGAGCAAAATTTACATAGTCCGCTTCGCGTCACATTTACGTAGACGACACGTAAGGATCTAAAGGGCTCGAGGGGTGAGGAAAAAGCGTCTAGGGGATAGTAGAAAAGCAGCAGCAACCACTGGGAAGAAAATGCTAACTCCAGAAAAGTGTACCTAGTCCATGTACATAGACAGCATAGTGAGTCTTAAAACATATATAGAACAAGAATCAAGGAGACTTTGCTACTCTTCTTTTTCATGATGAGTTACCTGCTTTGAATAAAAAGGCCAAAGCTGGTACTTGGGACAATTTCACCAGCAGCCTAGCTAAGTTGTTTGCCACCTGAATCCCTAGATTATTAAACCAATTGATGAACAATAAATAGAAATCACCACATTCCGTGGAAACCTAGTGCCAATAAGCACCTGATAGGACATTGACATTTTTCCTGTCTCATCTGGTGTGAATTGAACAAAGTAGCAACTTACCTGCGAAACAGTGGAGGTTCATGGATCAGAAGATGAAAGTCATTTTCTGAGCAAACTTCTCTGTCACGATGGTGAACTGCGCACTTGAAACTTCGTGTTCGTTTCCCGCTCATCTGAGAAATTAAAAAAAAAAAGAAACTTTTTTAACAACTGTTTGAATAATTATCAACTTGTCTTTAATTATAAATTATTTCTTTTTTCTTTAAAAAGTTGATTAATTAATTAGCGTAGAATTCATTTAATGACATCAAATTAATTGCTTTTTAAATTTAATAAAGGAACATCTCCATGACACAATATGTGCTCCAATGATTTGAATCATTTGATGATTAATTTTGTTTCTGTAGTAATTTTAATCTTTAATGAGCTCCAAAAAGAAACAATAAATGCAAAAGAATCTGATATTTTTTTCCATGTATTTATAAAACAATATTGAAGAAGTATGATAATGTATCATCATCAATCAAATAAAAAGTAAAAAACCAGTAATGATTCTGAGTATAACATTACCCCGAAAATAACTGGAGGATATGTATCCTCGAAACTCGAATAAAATAAAATTGGCGAGATCGTTGCGTAGTTAGGATTGGGTTTCGGTAATGTGGTTAGGCAAATGTGGTAGAACGAAGGGGAGAAAAGTGTGGATATCTAATTCTACACCTTCTAGACACTCTTATTACTCTCTCCATTGGCTTCTGAAGATTCATCGATGTCTTATTCTCGCTTGGGGAAATAAGGTAAGTTTGGACTTGCGGTTACGAAGGCAGCAGGAGAGTAGCAAAGCAAAGAGTGTATACAAGGGCGTACGTTGGCTTGCGGAAACTGTGGCAGTCGTGGCTTCTTCAGTCTTTGATTGCCAAAAAGACGGGCAACGCCGTCAAATAGACTGAAGTAAACTCGGAATGTAAAATGAAAGAACGGAGAGGAGAAGACGGAGAAT